AAAGTACCCAAAGATTCACATTTCTAGCTTTGTCTTGGTGACCCTTTCAATATCTATTTATTGAGAAATGTAAAATTTTTTTACTTTGTCACTTCCCTTAACATACTGGTACAATTATATAGACTTAATATGGATCTGCATTATTTGTAAGCTACAGTAGCAAAATTTTATTATTAAAACATCTTAGTAACAACCCTCTTTGTAACTCATATTAGTTGCAGCTAACAGTATGTTCCCCATGCCCAAACTCAAAGTTTCAAATGATCTGTTAAAATCAAAGGTAGACTGGACTTTGCATGTTATATTACAATTCAGTTGCACTTSAATTGTGATATAAATTAAAACTCACCATATTTGAAGTTTTACTCTGGTACCATTAAATACTACTGGTTTTACTTTAAAATCAATGCCTAAAAAAAAAAAAAGAGAGAGAGAGAGAGAAAGAAAATCCATTACATTTCTTATAAAAACATGTCTCCATTTTATAGGTTGTTTCTACTCTCTAATTATTGTTGTTGTTGCAGATTTGAAGAGAAAGTAGCAAGAAAATAAATCAAACAAAATATATATATATTCCATATGTTGGAACCATATATATTGGAAATGGAATCTGCAGAAGTCAAATACTCAGTCTATTCATTAACACATCACACAAAGGCAATAGAGTGGCAGGTCAGAGGTGCAACTACAAACCACATGTCCATATTTTCCTCTGTTGGCCAGGGACACAACAGCAGTTTGGTGGCCCATTCACAGCAATATTTGGCAAATGTATGGATGATTCCAGCTGTTTCCAGTTTCATTGCAACAGCGTGGCAGCTATGAATGGGAAGTTAGTGCCAAATGCTCATAAAGCTGTTAATTGCACAATGCCATTTTTTCTCTTTACTGCCAAATCTCTAAAATTTCCTAAAATTACAAGGACAGGAATAGAAATCAGCTACACTAGTGAAATGCAATGATGAGCATCTACTAAATTTTTTTCATATTTAAGAGTATCTCTGTAGTCTTCATTTCTGTATTCCATGTCTACCGTGTCAATGCTACAACTAGGCATGAGTAGTCAGCACAAAATCAGTGTTGCATGTTCCTGTAAGGAATTTCATTGTAATTTATAATGGTAGTCTTCATACTCCAAATGGGGTAAATGATACCTGCATTTATGGGTTGCTGAAGCTCCAAACTTAACATCTGAAAAGGCTCCCCATCACTATCTCACTGTAGTAAATCAGTATCATTTGACTCAGTTACTTTATTGCTGAAAATCCTCAGTTACTTTATTGCTGAAATTCAAAATATTTTAAAATTATTTCTCCATTTGCTTAATTCGCTGGAAGACAATGAGAGTATTTTTCAGCTTTATTAAGCAAGACAGTACTGTGGTAGCCAGCCACGCTGTATTTCTCACAAAAAAAGTCAAAATGTAGCTACATAACATGTCTTTTCTCCTGTGGCAGTGTCATTGGAACGAACTAAGAGGCCAGTGATGTGAAATTTAGAACAAGAGTTTGTTGAGAACCACATCAATACCAGGAGACAAAGCTGCCTTAAGCCAACATTGAAATAAGCTTAGTAAGGAAACATGATGTACTTGAAGCCCTGGAAGATACCTTCTCCTAGAGGATGCCTTACTCCATGGTCCATATGACATGATTTGAAATTTCTCAGAAACCGCTGTTCTCAAATTAGTCTCAAAGATTGTTACTGCAATCTCAAAACTATATATACATGTATATATAAACCTCAGTGATCTCAAGTTCATAAAYCTCCTCCTTCCTCTTGATTGTTGGCAATAAGCCGCAGCAAAACTCTGTCAAGTCTGATGTTTCTGAAACAAATGCCTTTGTAATCCTCCTAAAACGGGCACCTTCTGCCAGAGAACCCTCACCTGAGCTGCCAGCCACCCCGGCGTCGCTCCAGCAAGGCCTGCGGAGCCGACAGGCAGCAGAGGAGGCYGCCACGGAGGCGAGAGGCTCCAGCCTCCGCCACGCTGCTCCCTGGCGCTCTGCGGCACGGGCCTGTGCGTGACAAAACTTGGGTCTCTTACACTTACTAATGCGATCCAGGAGGAGGCCACCCCGTCCTCGAGGACCTCAGGCCATGGAGACCACGCGCCCATGGTCACACTGAGGCCAGCACAGCCCACCCTGATGGAGATCCGGCAAACGGGCTTCCCACCTTCATGTCCAACACGTGCCCATCGCCATGTGGGCCTCACCGAACACCCCTGGCTTTGGGGCAGACCGAGCAGAGACTGAGGGCCTTCAGGAACGTCCCTCTCCAAAAGCCCTCTCCCCCTGGCATTTCTGGGGTTCAGTTTCTGCGTAGTCAGAAAATAACAAAATGCCTGGCGATAGATAGGCAAGGAGCTTTCATTTCAAGTTTTTATATTGAAAAGCTTCATGACAGGAGGAAGAACTTCCATTTTGCAGTATTTTTAACTAGCTATCATGTTTGACTGTAAACACACAATACCACTATTCTTTTGCTTCCATGCTTTCTGTAAAATGCAAGGCAACTTTTTACAAAATCAACAATTTTGCATTAGTACCACTGCAGTGATTCCTATSAGACTCTGGCTGCCAAATTACTTTATCAAAGGAAAGCATTCGTGGAAATAAAATAGAGGAAACGCTGCCTTTCTTTTTATTTCCTGGTGTATTTTGCATGCAGATTTGAAGAGTTTATTCTTACATGCCAGAATCTAAAGGTACTAACATTTCGTACATATATAAAAACTTGAGTGAATTTTTACAATTATTATGATAATCGTGTCCTTCACYTGATGAATTCTCATTGAAGCTTCAATGGAAAGGGAAGATGAAATAATATAATTGGTATCTGTAATTAATATCATACAAGGCTTCCTTGATGAAATTAATAATGTTAGATGGAAATCTAATTTAAGCCAAATATACTTATATGCTCATGAAAGGTGAAATTTAAACTTTAAGGAAAACATTTGCTTCTGCATTTCACACAATACTGTTTAATTATCTGTATCGCTTTCTACAGCTAATATTAGAACACTTGAAAGGGATAAGATATATACTGCAAGGCTCGAAGAATGAATTGGGAATACAGAAAAAATTATAATCCAGCTAGAGATTTCCAGACTTAAAAGAAATTGTTTTTATTTGACATACATTGTAATAACAAAYTGGCATAAGTTTTTTTTCTAATTTATAAAAAGAGAAGCAGAGAGTGCTGAATCAGACTAAAATTTAATCTAAATTAAAATAAGGCATATTGACTTCTTAAGTCAACTTCAAAATTTATTGACCTAAAAGGTCAATGAATGTTAGTGAAAAACAAAAGTCAATATGTTCTGCATGCATGATTTGTTCATGTCTTTATATGAAATTTCAAGCAAACTTAGCAAATTGAAAAGGCAAAAAAAGAAAAATGGGAATTACAGGGCCAAAGACAGCTCACAGATTTCAGATGATTTTAGGTCCATGTATTATGCAATATGATCAACATTACAAAACTAACATTGATTACTGCTTTGAGATGAATGTTATTTAAATGCAACAGCATGTGCTTGCTTCTTTTAAGCTGTCAAATAAAATCAAGAACGGGTACAAATTCTGGTGGTTGTTACAGGATACTACAGCTAAATTACTTTTTTTTTTCCTTCATTATATTTAAAATAATGAATATGTCCATATTAGGACTGAGGCAGCTTTAACACAACTAGATCTAGGAAGCATCAAAACAGTCAACCCTGACGGGCTTCAGTGATGAGTTGCTTGTCTCACCGGTCAGTATCTGCACAAAAGTCTACAGCCGCCTGCAAAACTCCTCTGCAAAGAGGTGTGGAAGCTGATGAGCAGTTGGGACCAGTTCTTGTGCGCGAGTACGATGAGGTCCCAGTGGGCAGAGTCACRGGTGAGGGAGCTGCCGGCCCAGGCCCCAGTGCCCAATGCAGCCACACAGAACCCACCACCACAGTGTAAGGAGGGAACGCAGCAAGGGCAAGGGGCATATCCAAAAGGAAATGCACAGTCCCTTCACAAGTGCAAAAGGTATCACTGGACCTTTGCTGTAATATATAACCATCTAACAGTGCTTGGAGAAATAAAATTAACCAAAACACTACTGACTACCAGTGGACCTATCCCCAAACAGTCTTCTCCATCATTTGAGCCTAGTTYGTGTTTCAGCCATGTTACTCTTACCCATTACTTTAACCCTTACCTGTAGCTGGTGCATTACTCCAATCAGAGAACACAGGTAGCCTCATGCGTTATCACCATTTTGAGGTCACCTCACACAGTCCTTGCCTTAGCAACCCATCAACAGAGTTATAGGCTTGTAGAACAAGACAGGTACTCACGCTTGCTCCAAGGGAACAGGAATAGTCCCCACCTGCCCTCAAGGGGTCTGGAAGAACAAGGTCACCTAAGAGCAGGTCACTGCAATGGTCTGCAGTTGAATCTGTAACATCTCCTTACACTCAGACCAAAAAGTTTCAGAGAGGCAAGAATAGACATTCAAACTGTGAAAGCTGACTAACTGTAATCTACAGAAGAGAGAGTTGACTAATTGTAATCTATCTAAGGAAGGGAAGGCCTGGAAAATATCAAAACTGTCAGCAAGATCCAGTAGTTTCTACAACAGAAACCACACTATAGCCTCCTTTAACACAGCCCRGTCACAGTTATTGGCCCCCTCTAGCAACAGAGACCCTAGAAGCAGCTTCGTTTAACTATGAAGAAGGAGACTCAAAGCCTGTCGAGCATTTACAAGATCTCTCATCTCCAGGAGCATTAGGGACAACAGGATTAAGAAAGATATCCAAAGAGTGAGCAAGTCAGTAGGTCAAGTCAATTAAACAGCTTAGGAATCCAGAGACTCAGTTGCATGTGTCTGCTCTGCCACAAACTTCCCTGGGCTCATTTTGCTTTTCTGGGAATTTTGCAGCTGGAAAATGAAGCTTGGACTGACTACAATCAGCTTACGCCACAAAGCAGAGAAAATGAGTGACATGCTACAGCCATGAGAGCTTCCAAGCGGGATGGGTACTGCAGGCCTTCTGTGCTGTAATACAGTTTAGACAAGGACATATGTGAAAAAAYAGCCAAGTTATTTTGAGTCTAAATGAGGGGACTGGAAAATGAGAACATGGTGCATGGTCCATGGATACATTTTTTTGGGGGAGGAGGGAACGGGAACAGGGGGAGGAGGGCACCAGGACAAGGACATGTTAAGAAGTATCTGAAGCCAACTAGTGGTTGAATAGCCAAATACAGTATTAAATACTGCATTGACAAACAGTGCATCTGAAGGGATCAGATATTTTGCTAGGAAAGTAGTGTCGAAAATCTAGTCTTTTAAAAAGAAAAAAAAAAGGAAAAGAAAAACCAAGGTGGCTTCTTATTAACATTGGTAATACAGGCCATATTTAGCTCCAATATTTGACCTTTTCAATTAATTCTACTTTTTTTTTTTTCTATGTAATGTGAATACATTTTTTTGAGGAAAACCTCAAAACTTCAGAACTGATTTTTTTTTTTTTTGCAATTTCACTCTTAATTCTTGTATTTTACTCTTCTTTAACATAGGCATTAGAAAGCAAAATTTTCCTTTTGATGGGAAAAAAATCAGAAAAAAAAACTATTTCTTTTTAAACGCTGAAAGTGGGAGTGCACCACTTTCAAGTATGAAGGTTTGGCAAAGACCACCCTTTTACAGAAATTTTCCCACAGAGTACATTTTTCTGAGGTACTGTGGCCAATCCCAGAATGGTYGAGGTTGGAAGGGACCTCTAGAGATCATCTAGTCCAACCCCGCTGCTCCAGCTGGGACACCTATAGCATAGGGCACCCCGTGCCATATAGTAAAATAAAAATCTTATAGCCTGTCAGATCAGCACCCTGTTCACTTGTATGCAGGAGGGGTCTCCTTGCATTCATAAACTTTCTCTAGGGCTTTGTATGCAATACCATTGTTCCAACAAAAACAGTTATTCTTTAGAGTCTGCTATGGTCTACTATTCATAATACAATGCATCTGCCTTATGATGCATTTAAGTTTAATTAGAAAACTATAACTGCTTATAATTTACCCAAACTGTGTAATTGAAGAGGAGTAAGGGCACCCATCCTTGGGTGTTTAAGTGCTGCATAAAGTGCTTTCAGTGAAAATTTACTGTGAATGCATTTTCTTTTTTCCATTTCAAAAAATACATAATTTTAGAAAAATTCACAACTGAAGAATGCTAGCTGCAACTAGAAAAAGTGAGAAAAGTCCTTTTTTTWAAAAAAATAAGGCTAGGATTTTTTTTCTAGCAGCACAAACTTCAAACTTGCCCATAACAATGATACAGAAAGGGCCTCTCAACAGCACCCAGGCAGCCTAGAACTCCTGTGACTACTACCCTCCACCACCAAAGAAAGGAGGTGATGCAAGTTCTTGTCAAGCAACTCAAATACCTGAAAAACTTAACAGCCTGAATAATCGTCTCCCTATTTTAATCAACGTTCCAGCTGGACAGATAGGGTGAAAAAATCAATTAACATCAGACGAGCATTCAGTAGAGTGACTAAGAATGTATGAAATAGACATTCAAATGAGAAGAGCTGTTTGTTTTCATCGTGTCAATGAAGATGATGATGTCAGAAGAAGACATCAGGAAGAYAAAATGTGAAATGCTGCAATGCACCTGAGGCTTCTTCCTACAGACCTTTCCAAAAACCTAACACCAAGAGTTAACCACTTGTGCTGTTGTAACTCTCCTAACGGACAAGAAACTTCCATTTCAACACTACGGCTTTAGAAGTCATCARTGAACAATCCCATTCATTTTAAAAATCTAAGGTCTGACAAGCTTGTAAAATAGAATTAAATCGAATACAAAATTCAAGAAATTACTTTAAAATCACATTCAGATAATACCTAGATTTGAATGACTTTTTAACATTGTAGATAGACATGTTAAAGTCTTTAAAACCCTGAACAACAGGTTTTGAAAACAATAATAAAATTAATAAAGTTAATCATAGTCCATAATTGCTACAAAACTGATTCATCTTAACTATTCTTCAAACTATTTCACAACTTGGAAATCTGAGCATGGGCAATTCTGTCTCAAAACAACAATCTCAAGGACAGGAACCTAAGTTCTAATAAAAATACCATCACTAAAGTTAACATTTATTTTCCCAGGCATTATCTTAAGCAGTGCAACAAACTGCCTTTTAAAAGGATAAATTTTCACTATATTTCTGCTGGTCGTATTCTTCCCTTTCTGTTTATGTTCGTTCAGAAGGTGCTTTGCAGGAATATGCAAGGAAATAAAAGTGGTTTAAGTTCCRCCAGTTCTCATGTGAGCAGGTCACGTAACCTCATGCCCATTAAGCATTTCCTCTTACATAATCGGACCAACTGCTGCCACAAGTGCTACCTGCTGCATATTTGGTTAAGCAAAGTCCTCCTGCACTGAGGAGTGTATGAGAGCCTTGCAGATTCAAAACACAGAAACAAGCCATTGCTTGTGCGTACTCTGCCCTTCCATTAAACTGCAAAGAAAAAAAAAGATTTCACACACACAAAACCGTATTTAAAAATGAAGATTTACTACTCAGAAATTTGTAGTATGTCTGTGGCAAACAACAGCGCCCACATATTCCACATTTTCCGGATGCTGCTGACTTTTCCAGCACGTGGACCGTGAGCTGGCCCTTCCCCACGGAGCCAGCGGGAAACGCAGACCGGGCAGCCAGGCCCCGGGCCCGGGAAGGCAGCACGGAGCCACCTTGGTTTAGCAGGGGCTCTGCTTTAACAACCACATATGCAATTGAGGATAACTTGACCCATCGGTGCCCTTTATCCCGTTACAACCTATTAATACAAAGTTAGGGGAACTTGGGCAGGGGGCACAGAGGGGTGTCCCTGACTGGGGGCACCTGGGGACAGGGCACAGAGGGGTGTCCCTGTGGGGGGTACTTGGGGACAGGGCACAGCAGGTTGCCCTTGCATGGGGGTACCTAAGGACAGGGCACAGAGGGGTGTCCCTGCGGGGGGTACTTGGGGAGAGGGCACAACAGGTTGTCCTTGCAYGGGGGTACCTAAGGACAGGGCACGTCAGGGTGTCCCTGTGTGGGGGTACTTGGGGACAAGGCACATCAGGGGGTGCCTGCATGGGGGTACTTGGGGACATGGCACAGCAGGGTGTCCCTGCAGGGGGTACCTGAGGACAGGGCACGGCGCGGTATGCCTACAAGGGGATACCTGGGGAAAGGGCATGGCGGGATGTCCCTGCAGGGGGTACCTGAGGACAGGGCACAGAGGGGTGTCCCTCCAAGTGGCACTTGGGACAGGGCACAGCGAGGTGTCCCTACAAGGGGATACCTGGGGAGAGGGCATGGTGGGGTGTTCCTGAGGGGGTACTTATGGACAGAGCATGGCAGGGTGTCCTTACAAGGGGCACTTGAGGACAGGGAACAGCAGGGTGTCCCTGTGTGGGGCATTTGGGGACCGGACAAGGTGAGTGTCCCCACGGGGGTACCTGGGGACAGGGCACGGCGAGTGTCAGTACAGGGGGTACCTGGGGACAGGGTACGGCGGGTGTCCCCACGGGGGTACCTGGGGACAGGGCACGGCGGGTGTCCCCGCGGGGGTACCTGGGGACAGGGCACGGCGGGTGTCCCCGCGGGGGACACTTGGGGACAGGACGCAGCAAGTGTCAGTACAGGGGGTACCTGGGGACCGGGCACGGCGGGTGTCCCCGCGGGGCCGGCTCCGCGCGCGGCGCTGCCCGCCGGGGTGGCGAGCGCGGCCGGCACTCACCGATGGTTGCCAGGTAGGAGGCGGAGGAGAAGGCGGCGGGCGGCGCGGCGGGCTCCGTGTACCTGCGCACGATGGACGTCTTCCCCACGCAGGACTCGCCGGCCATCACTATCTTCAGCAGCAGCGACTTCCCCGCGGCGCCCTGCGCCAGCGCGGCCATGGCCGAGCGCGCGGCGGGGAAGCT